GTGGCACTACCTTTCTACAACTATCACAAGTCTTTCTCGGCTAAGGCGGCGGCAACTTTCGCTCAGTTTAATATCAGGATAAACTGGAGCCACATGGACACCAAACTATTCTGCCACCACTTTGCTGGGCGAGTGCCACCGGCTTGTGCCATTTGCTCATCCAATTTTCACACTACCAATTTGTGCCCCACCGAACATAATTTACTCACCACTACCTACAGTACACCTAGCACCAGCAAGTTTGAACAAAGAGGTTTAAAGGACAAACTGGGTAGACCGATAGTCTTCTTGGGGAAGGCGCAGGTGTGCAACAACTTCAATGCAGGCGGTTGCAGTTTCAGTGCCTGCAGGTTGTTGCATGCTGTGCCCTCTGTTTTAGAGCCCACACCAAAACCATGTGCCCTAATCGTCTCTTTCCCAAGAAATGACTAACGGAGGTACAAGTCGACACACTAGCCTTTTACCTTGTCACTCACCCATATCCACACCTAGTCAATTTCCTCATCACAGGCTTTGCAGAAATGTGCCACACGGGGTTAATTGCACTACCTATAGGTATGTTTGAATGTAACAACCTACAGTCAGCAATATTAGATCCCACTACAGTGGTTACCCTCCTCAGCAACGAAATAGAGAAAGGCTTCATGATCGGGCCATTCCATATGCCCCCTTTAATTTGCTGGCGTACAAACCCTATAGGTATCGCTACAGGAAAATACAACAATAAAAAACGGTTAATCATAGACCTATCGGCTCCTCATTCTGTTGTTACACCTAGCCTGAACGCACTCATACCATCAGACGAATTCTCCCTGCAGTATGCCACAGTAGACAATGCAATACAGGCGATATTAGAGGCAGGGGAAGCAGCCTGGTTGGGGAAAACTGACATTTCCAATGCCTTCAAACTGCTCCCAATACGCCCGTCACTGTGGCATCTGCACGGAATAAAATGGAAGGGCTTATACTATTTTGCCGTCCGACTATCTTTTGGAGCAAAAAGCAGCCCAAAGTTATTCGATATGTGCGCAGAAACACTATGCTGGCTGTTGTTGAATATAAGTGGCTGTCCAGTCATCATCCATTAACTAGACGACTTCCTGACCATAGAAAAACACGAGACCATCCCACAGCTTTACTAAAACTGTTGCACTATTTTCAACCCTACGAGTTCTGGTAGCCTTGGATAAAACGGTGGGACCCGTCACCAGGTTGTCATTTCTGGGTATATGCCTAGACTCAGTCACTATGCAGGCTAGTCTCCCTGCAGACAAAGTTCAGAGAATCAGGACAGAGATAGAGTTGTTCCTCAACAAAGGTACTACTAACCGGAAAAACCTACAGTCCCTGCTTGGTTCTCTGAACTTTGGTATGAGAATTATTCCACAAGGACGGGCTTTTATATCTAGGCTACTCAGCCTCTTACCCAAACTACCTAACGACCTCAGCATAGTCACTCTAGACCAACAAGCTAGATCAGACTTAACCATGTGGAGACATTTTTTGTCTCAGTTGAACGGTATAAACATGTTCATTCCATCTTGGACAGAGTTTTCCCCAGTGATATGGATAGACGAAGCACCCTACTCAGGGTACACAGCTATTTTTGGTGACAAATGGTTCAGAGGCAGATGGCCAGTTGACACAGCTTTGTTACCCTCATCTAACACCACATCATCCCTTTTTGAAGTGTACCCAGTAGTCGCAGCAGCTAAAGTCTGGGGATACCTTTGGAAGGGACAAGCTATAAAATGCTACTCTGACAATGCAGCTACGTGCGATATAATCAACAAAGGCAGATCCACTACATTAACCATCATGAGGTTAGTCAGGAGACTAGTATGGTTGGCAGCCACACTACACTTTCACCTCACATGCGAGCACATACCGGGCCACCACAACACCGTGTCTCACTCTAACTTTCAGGTGTTCCGTCAAGAACATCCAACGGCCGAGACAAACTCATACAATCCTCCGTTATTTCAGGACCTCATCCTGGACTAAATTCACTTATGGCTCACGGCAGAATGCTAGCACATTCAGCACTCTCTGCAAACACCAGGCGCTCATACAACCGAGCCCTGACAATTTTCAACAGATTCATCACAGAATACAAAATCAGTAACCCATGGTCATTAGATACCGTGGTGGCATTTACTTATTTTTGCCACCTACACCTAAAACTGGCACATAATACGATAAAATTATACCTCACAGGTATACAATATCACCTCACAAACACGTATTCTAGTCACAATCCTTTCATGCACACTAATCCCATAAGAAACGTTTTAAAAGGTATCTTATGACTTGAACAAAAACCCACAAAATGTAAACCGATAGACGCAAACAAGTTGCAGGCATTATCCAATACATTGGATACACTGCCATTCAAAAACTATACAAACACAATAAAAATGGCTATTTATCTAGCCTTCTACGGGTTCTTGAGACCAAACGAGTTCACCACAGAACAAACCACTCATACCACCAACATGCTGACAATGGCAGACCTTAACAAAATAGGGGACCATTATGTCTTGACACTTCGACAATCCAAAACTAACCAAACGGGACCACCCGATGAAATACGTATATATACCCGACAGCACATATTATTAAAAAACTAGGATGTTGGAAATCATCTGCTTTCAACGGGTACATTCCTCAACCAGAGAAAGAAATGAGCAAAGCATTTAGGGATTTAACTAAGTAGATGTGCATGTCAAAGATTAATCCAGAATCATACTGTTACGTATTAAAGATGTTTTGCCCATAACTTTTTGCCCTTTTTATTTTACAGGCCTGCCTGTACATTTGGTTTCGGCACACCACAACCGAATTTAGATAATAACACAATCTACGCTTACTCGGCTAATTTCCCTGACCACAAATGAGAAGGCGGAGCCTGGAGTTGTGGGAGGGGATGATCTGGTCTATTTAAACTTTTTTTTTTATGGTAGTTTCTGACTTTTGACTCACCCTGTAGAATCAAGATGCTTTAATATGAATGCTTCAAACTGTATATGAAGGCTTGACGATTCCAAGACACTATGTAATCTTAATTGCCCACCATGGCAACCTGGTACTTTTATTTTGTCTCCCAGCTGTACAGAGAAAGAGCAAATGAGGTTCCCTGAACCATAAATATCCCGTAAAGTATCAGCACAGCGTAGTTATTACAATGTCGGGCACGCGGACTGCATAAGGAGCAGCCTCATGAGGTTTGATGGAGTGAAGTTGGTGGTAAGTATAGCGCTCGCGCAAGGGGTTAACTGCAGGGCTAGGGTTAACGGCAGGGCAGCTCGCGCTGTTAGAAAGGCGGTAAGCCCGCGACCAGGGCATGAGCTCTGATTGGTAGTTAGCAGCGCAAGGACATCAGTGGAGGGAAAATAAGGGGTATTAATTTAAAGGCGCCAAAATTAATTACCTCAGCTTGTACCAGAAAAATCTGAAAATATTTAAGTTGCTGTTCCCACCCTCCCTCCCTGGTCATCACAGGAGGATGGATTTGGTGGAAAATATATTTATGGCTTCTGACTTGGGAGGGGGGAGGAGCCTTGGAAAGTGGTTATGGTTAATATGTTGGTTTGGTGTAAAGTTATGGTTTATTATTAATCATAGACATGTGCAATTCGTTTAGTTCAGAATACAAATTCGGCTGAATTTCGGAAATTCTTATGCTTCCGAATGTCTGAACTTCCGAAGTGCTGAATTTCGGAATGCCGAGCTGAATTGGCGAATTTCGGAATGCCGAACCGAATTGACGAATTTCGGAAGTGCTTCGGATTTCTGAAAAGTTGCAAAACAGGAGAGGGTTGGGGTACGGTTAGTGGTTGGGGTAGAGATAGGGTTAGAGTTGGGGCAGGGTTAGTGGTTGGAGTAGGGTTAGAGTAACCCTAACCCTACTCCTAAACCAACCTTAACCCTACACCTAACCATAACCCTACTTCTAACCCACTTACCCGAAGTCCTGCAGCTCCGAAGTTTCAAAGTGTTGAAGTGCCGAACCGAAGTGCCAAAGTTCCGAAGTGCTGAAGTCCTGAATTTCGGAATGCCGAACTGAATATTTTTCCCATGCACATCCATAATTATTCATAGGGTTATGGTTTAATTGGAATTATGAAATCTGTAATAAAGGTTCACGGCCATTCTCCAAGGTGTATTATTAAAGTTATTAAATAACATATTTTTATGAAGAAGTTTGATTGTGTTTATTTATTTATGTATCACTATGATTGCAACAAATCCCACTCACTGGGGATTAAGCATAAAAGGTTTTCTTATGAGAAAAGGATAAATGCTTATGCAGTAAGTGTTACACCAATGTAAAAAGATTCCTGCTAAAAATGTATCCCTATGCAATAGATAGCAAATCAGATAAGTGATATAATTTTGATGTATAGTTGCATATTATGTATAAATATAGGTGCAAAAGCGTACTTTTTTATCTGGTTAATCCACTATAGTTCCCCCCCTTGTATTATTCATGTGCAAATGTGAGAATGAAAAGTTCCAAATGTGGTCTATTATGTACGAAGGTGTCTCAATAAATTGGTTTTATACGTATACAGACAGGCAAAATATGATCAAAAAGATGTTGCTTAGTGTCAGAGATTACAAAATTATTCACTCAAAATGCTCAATGCTCATGATGGTACTGGTGGGCTGTAAACTGAGTAAGGAAGGGTTGGGTAGCTGCTGTCTTATACGATGCTTCTGGTGATTAAAAGCAACAGGGCGAGGGATGTTTGTTAACAGAGTACTTTAGTGGTGAGGCAACTCAGGATTTGTACAGGGCCCTTTGCTAGCGTATGCTTTTATAGGTTTCTGATGAGTGGCAATGGAGATTGTGACGAAGTGCCCTTCGCCACTTGTGCCTGGAGAGGACTAATTGCCAGCCTCCTGCCATGTGACTATGGTCCCTGGGAGACTTTGCCAGTTAAAAAGACTATTTGGGCTTATTGGCTTTTAAAAGACTGCTTCTGCCCTTTGATTCCATGGGAGCATGTGTCTCTTCCCCTCCCCCTCTAATACCTATACCATTGTTCTCCAGCAGGGCATTGTCCCAGGGACACTGCCAAACCAGTTGAAACAAGCTGTTTTGTCCCAAATAGGACTTTTACCTAACTTTTGAACTACTGGAGGGAATTGTATGATTTTTGGGTATGTTTATAATTAAAGTGTGCTGAGTTCGAATATGTGATTTATGTTTGTGGCATGTATATTTTGGAAGTTATTAATATGTTGCATAAAGTGTATTTGTCCTGCCTGTGATAAATTACATTAACCCATTGTGTTCAGTAATTATATCACAGGCAGAGGGGAGGGATTGTATGTTGGTGCTGAGTGTGTTTTACGGTTTGCCTGTAAAGGATTGGTTGTACTGTGCCCCACCCTTGCATGGGGACTTGCATAAAAGCCAGTGTCAGTTCATCTTGTACCTTTCTTGAAGCCTTGGCTCATGTTTGGGGGATTGGAGAACTACACTCTGGGGATTGCTATAATCACTATACTCCCCAGGGTATATTCACTAAGCTCTGCTAAGAGCTTGTTCCTGTTCCTGCTCTCTGGAGAAAGAGAGGTTCACCCACTGGAAGCTGGATCCTGGCCTTGGGTCCAGGGTGGGTGGAGATAGCGAGACCCCGGCGCAGCTGCATCGCTGGAAGTGGGGTCTGCAGTGCTGATGGTGTCGGTTGGAGTGCTTGGAGTCCTCGGCAAGCACTAGGAGCATCGATTGGCGGAGGTACTCGGTCGGAGTGCCAGCGTTCCATCACAGAGATCATTTTTTAAAATCATACTCAAAATTGGCTACTGGCTGCCCAGCAGCAAGAGGAGAAGACACTGCTCAGGTGTGCTGTGGACTCTTCAAAGTCGGCTTTGGAGAGGTTTTATAACACATTCTGTTCTGGGTAATATTTATTCCCTGATTTATTTGAAAGCTATAAGCGATATGTATAAAAAAAAAAAAGGGGGGGGGAGGGTTTAATGCATTTTTTTCTCTGTTTGCGCCCATTTGTTCCCTTATTTGCACCAAAACATTAATTACTTCCACCACTTTATATTCCTTTATTTTTAAGGTTTACACATTTGTTGCTTCCAATGTACAAAAAGAGGTGCAAAAGTGCACTTGTTTTCTCACAAATTTATCTGCCACTGTCAAAATGGTTAAGTTTCTGAGACAAGCGATCAGGTTTGACATTGTTTCTTATTTAAGGAATTAAACAATTCTTTCAATTGCAAATTTTTTTATTTTATTTTTTTCTAATGTCGATTGGATTACTCATTGATCTTATTTTGTAAATGTAATCATTGGTAAAATCTACAGGGGGAAAAAAAGGAGCAACAAAACCAAAATGAGGAATAAAAAGTGACGAAATTATGGATTATTTTGGCATAGTACAGAAAAGGGGGGGGGGGGATCACTGATGTATAAAGGATCGAGTGACAGTTTTATACATAAGAAAATTGGACATGCACACAAAACTGACACACATGTTAAAGAAGATGCAGCTATTTCTTATGTATAAAACTATTACTCCCCCTTTATACTTTGGTGACTTCCCCCCTCCTTGTCTGTAAAACAGACACCAATTTCAAAGAATGTTCAACAATTATTATACATAACCCCCAAAATGCATCTGATCAGGAGAAGGATTATGACGATTTAAACAGTGTTTGTGCTAACCAAACAATTGATAAGAGAATTATAGTTGAAACACTGGTCATCATTGATCGACATGTTACTATGTTACTGCTCTGCTTGATGACACAAGTTTAATTAAGTGTTCTTGCATAGTAAGACCACTTACTATTACCTCACATTTATATATTATTCTTATTATTATAGCCAAATTTACCACCCTAACTCCTCCCACAGTTTTTACACTACATAGACAAATATACTGAAACATGCGGATTGTTCCCGATTGGTGTGCTATTACTTTGTGGAACGTTTTGCCGAATGGTTCACAAACGATTGTCGTTTTTGTGACGAAATTGGTCCCATAGGAATGAATGGCGGAATGTTTAAAACTAGAGTGGGAGCTGACAAAGGCTAGAGTGTGAGCTGAAAAATCAGGACATGATATCTAAACTGCCACCACTCCCTCATTTTCAAGTCCACCTACACAAATCTTATATCAAAACGTTCAGCTATCCCTGCTGCCACTAAAAATGTCCACGGCTAAGCCATAGTCCTGATAGTTTTCACAATATGACCATTTCTTTGCAACTCACGCCATCCATTGACATTCATTGAAACTCCACTCTAGCCAGCTCAAATTTGAAGGGCAATATCTAAACTGCGACTGTGCCTTCATTTTTAATATTTCAGAGACATACTATGCATCAAAATGTCTTGTGATTCTCACAATATAAAGCTCTTCACTGTAGGATTTATAGTTTTTAAAACTACGACCGTTTGAAGATGGCAACCGCCAGTGAAGTGAGCAATTTGGAGCAGTTTGTTTTTAACCGCTTTTCTCTGCCCTATTTTAACTCTATTAGTTCCTGTTGGCAGTTGGTGGAATGTTCGAGGGATTTGAAAGTTCTTCTCTGCCCTTGCTGTAAAGTGAGTGAACCACACTCCAACCTTTCCACAGTTACTCCAGCCACTCCGACCACACAGCAGTTACTCAAGCCACTCCACCCAGTTACTCCGCCCACTCCAGTTGCAGACACTTCACACAATTTCCCCAGAAATTTTTGCTTTTCTAGTTTACGATGTATTGATTGCTTTCCCTGTTTATTTACAAAGCAACATTTAATTGAAAGAAAAGCACCGACGGAGCTTTTGATGTAATTATCCTCCATACAAAAATGGCGAGCAACTGGTAAAATAAATGTGTTAAAATCAGTCCTATTCTGTTTTGTATTCAAATGTTTACTAGCTGATGCCCCAAATATTAAGTTAACTTGTGCCATCATTATGCATGCAGAGAGTGACCCAGCTCATGGTGACATCCCACTATGAATTAGGGATTATTCTATCTCTAGTGATTGAATAATCTAAATTTTATTAACGACAGGAGGCGAATATTTGCTGAACCTCCCAGCAGCAAAGAAATAGTTAACAATAGTGTAAAAACAATTCAACCAATCAGAGTGTATAACAGTATTATATGATGTCATCAAACTCCTCCCAAGTCCTCTTTCTTGCTGTAGCCGCCGATATCCGAGTATCAACCATGTAAACTATAACTATGAACCGTGACCAATCCAAGGTCCTGATGTAGTCAGCCATGTAAACTTTCAACGGGATTGATGAATCCATATATCACAAGCGTTGGGATTCTTCACACTAAAGGGAAGTAGAGAAAAAAACCATGAGAGTATAGGTTCTCATACTAGTTGAATGCAAGTTTATGGCATACTAGGGACAGCAATTTCAATAGATTTCATGTAAAATGATGTTGAGTATGTCAAACTCTTGGTGTTGTGGTGTAAACCTATGACAGATGATGTGTGAATGTGTTTGAAACAGATCGACTAGAATTTTTTTTTTTAGTAACTTACCTTAGGGCGGGTACAAATGATAATGAAAAACAAAGAAGGGAGGGAAAATATTCGCCTCCTGTCGTTAATAAAATTTAGATTATTCAGTCACTAGAGCTAGAATATTCCCTAATTTTATGGCAAGACAGGAGGCTTCATATTTGCTGTTTTAACGCTCTTATATGATAGAAGATGCAGCATGTGGCATAGGTTTGATATAGAATGTACGAAAGGTGGATTCACTGGTCCAATCTGCAGACAACAATGTCTGAGAGGGAACTACCCGTACGAAAGGCTGAGGATGCAGCTGCTCCTCTGACTGAATGCGTTCCAAAAGAGGAGTCAATACCTGCTTGGGCTAGTATCCATCTGATCCGCGCGACGGTGGGAGCGGACACCGGTTTGTGTGGTCTGACATAGGAAACGAGAAGGGGTCCTGTAGGGGAACGCAGAGTGGTTGTGGCATCTATATAGTGCCTTACACAGAGCGCCATGCAAAGCGACTGTCTGCTTGGAAAGTAAGGGTAGAACACAGAGGAGGAATTAGTCTTTGTTCGCCTGGTGATGTGAAATTTAACGCCCTCAGGCGAAAAAACTACAGCGTGGAAATCAAATGCTCGAATGTCGGAGACCCTACGGAAGGATACCAGACATAGGAGTAAGGCTAGTTTGGCAGAGAGTTGACGTAACGTCAAATTCTCATTAGAGGGCCAGGAGTCTAAAAGGGAAAAAACCTGAGTGACGTCCCAGAAATTGGAATATCTTGGAAGAGGGTGTCTGGCTAGCCTGATCCCTCGTAAAAGTCTACAAACCGAAGGGTGTTTTCCTATTGATGCATTGTCAATAGGGTTGTGGGCCGCAGAAATAGCAGATCTAAAAACAATAATTGATCTATAGGACTTGCCTTGATCAAAGAGAGTAGATAGAAAATTTAGGATGATCGTCAGAGGTGCTGAAAATGGATCGGTATCCCTTACCAAACACCAGCTGACCCATGTCCGCCATGCAGCGAGGTAAGCTCTTCTTTTGCCTGGGGCCCAGGAGTCCCATAGAAGGGCCTGAGCTGTCTCCGAAAGTCCCGAGACATTCCAGGATCCCCTGAAACGGTCCAAGCTACAAGCTAGAGCTGCCCTTGAAGGGCGAGTGGGTGACAGCGCCCTGCTGGATTCTTGAGGATGTCGGGGGATTGAGGTAGTAGAATTGGACAATTCACAGACAGTTCAAGCAGGGTTGGAAACCAAGTCTGGGCTCTCCATAGCTGAGTGACAATAACTATCGTCACTACTAGGGCTTTGACCCGGTAAAGGGTGCGCTGGATCATGGAGAAAGGCGGTAACGCATAAGCTCCTGTCTCTGGCCAAGGGTGTAGGGAGGCATCGACTGCTCAGGACTGGGGATCTGGGAGCCAGTTGAAAAAGGCCTTCGTCTGGTGATTCAGCCGAGACGTGATCAGGTCCAGTGTGAGGGGCCCGCGAAGACAATGAAATTGATAGAACAAGCGGGGATCCAATTGCCAGTTGCTTACGTCCCTCCAATGACGAGAGAACCAATCTGCGACTAGGTTGTCCATGCCTGGAAGATATTCTGCTCTGATGGATAAATTCCACTCTAGGCAGAATTGGTAGAGTTCCTTGGTAAGGTCGGACAGTAATTTGGATCGGGAACCTCCTAACCGATTCACATAACGCACTGCAGAGACGTTGTCCATGCGCAGTACTAGTGAACAATTGAAACAATCTTTTGCGAAATTCTAGGCAATTGATGTGCAGTGCTTGTTCAGAGAGGGACCATAGTCCCCCGGTGGACCTTTCGGCGCACATAGCGCCCCACCCCAAGAGACTGGCATCGAAGTCTGGTTGTGATCCGAAAATGGCTTTGCAATTCCAGGTTTCCATGTCGTGAAGCCACCAATGAAGTTCTATACAGACTTCGTCTGTTAGGTAGATTAGTTGGTCGTAGAAGGTGGACCGGTTTAGATAGTAAGTCTTGAGCCGTTGCATGGTTCTGTAATCTAGGGGTCCTGGATAAATGGCTCGGATAGAGGCAAACAGGCCTATGGTATGAGCCAGATCGCATAGGCGAATCTGGTGGGCTGATAGCAATTTGCAAATGTCTTTCTTTATAGCCTTGACCTTTGTAGAAGGTAGTTGTAAAATCGCGTGTATGGAGTCTTTTAGGAATCCGAAAAACTGAACTTTCTGAGAAGGTTCCAGGTCCGATTTTTGAAAGTTGATTACAAAACTTAGGTTTTGTAATAAGGCCGTCTTCATGTCCGTGTGTTGACGTAAAAGGTCTGGATCTTGAGCCATTATCAGGATGTCGTCCAAATATACAATGGAACGAATCCCCTGTGATCGGAGTAGCGCCATCACTGGTTTCATCAGCTTTGTGAATCACCATGGTGCAGAACAAAGACTGAACAGGAGGCATGTGAACTGCCAAATTTCCTCTTGCCAGAAGAATTGAAGAAAAGCCCGATGGTTGCGGGTGACAGGGACAGTGAGATATGCGTCCTTGAGATCGGATCTGGATAACCAGTCTCCCACGCAAAGGAGGTCCCTGAGGAGATGGATGCCCTCCATTTTGAAATGATGATATCTGACATAGTGATTAAGGTCTTTCAAATTGATTATTGGACGCACGTCTCCAGATTTTTTGTGGACCAGAAAAATATTGCTTAGAAAGGTATGTGGGAAGGGTGATCTTTCTGTCGCCCCTTTTTCCACCAGTTTGTTCAATTCTGTGTGTAATGCCAGGTTGTCTGTTGCAGACATCCGAAATGGTGTAGGTGGTGTGTCCTGGAAGGGAGTGGAAAGGAAATCTATTTTGAACCTCTTGACTGTGTGTAGGATCCATAGATCCTGTGAAAGCAGTTCCCACTGTTGGAAAAAATGGGTTAGTCGATCTGCTATAGGTACATTGAAAAAATTAAGGTTTATTACCTGGAGCAGTGCGTCCGCGTAAGGAGGCAGATCCACGTCCCCGAATGGATCCTCTATTGGTGAATAACTGCCTGTGGTAGGGTCGACGGGGTCCCGAGTTCCAGTAGTTTTCTGAGGGACGAGGCCTGTAGCCTGTGAAGGCAGCTCTGCTGTTCATTCGGCCTTTATAATGTCCAGCTCTCCCAGAAAAACGACCTGACTGGGATCGAAATACCCTGCATAGGGAGGATTGGGCCTTGTTTAAGGTAGTAAATACCGCTGCTAATTTAGCATTGAGTTTATATAGTGCCGCCCTACGTCTCTCAGTGGATATAGCCACATTTGCATTGCCCAGGAAACATGGGGCTCTTTGGGCCCATTCTCGGACTGTGTGAGGGTCAAACTCCCCACTAGTTATAGCTTCGTCAGCTAGTATGAAAATTTGGATGATGGGACCAGCGATATCCAGGAGCTTGTCCTGGGCTGTCTTAAGACCTTGCTCAATACCCTTGCAAGGGTCTTTCCCTGTTTTAGTGAGGAAGGTCACAAACAGCAGGTCAAACTCTGGCGTGAGAGCCACTTTACTTGGTATAGTTGGCCGAGGGCATTCGGCTCTGAGTTTAGCCCTTATTTCTTTTTCAAGGGGCTTATGCAGCCACATCTTGCAAAAATTAGAGATGTGGTCAGGTGGGGCCCATTCGGCCGAACGTGGATGTCTAATGACCCTAGGGTCGAAAAAAGGGACACCCGAAGCATCCAGAAGGGTGTCTGAGTCGGGTCCCTTGGGCATAGAGATGTTTGCATCTGTGTCCTTTTGGTAATGAATGTCTCCTTGACAAATTCCGATGGGGTATCCCCTAGCGCATTCGCCGAGGGGTCCTCATTAGAATAGCCAAGGTAGTAATCCTCAACCCCATTGCCCATTTGAGAAGTGGAACCCTCCAAGGGGTCGAATATAGTTTGGGCGGGGCGAGTGACAGTTAATTTTTGGGACTTGGCAGGAGCCTTGCCCTTGCCCGCAGACACACTATTCCCTTTCCAAGGACGTGTGACCTCCTGATCCAAGGGCTGAGAGTCCTCTGAGTCAGAGAGTAAATGTGAGGTGGGATTGACTTCGCCAGAAGTCTTTTCATGGAAGGCTGCTAACGCCTTGGGGATGGATTCAGAAATGGTTGAAACCAGCCAAGCTTTAAGTTCCTGAGAGATTGCGGGCTCAGTATTGTCAGACATTTTAGTTAGCACTGTATTAGTGATTCTGACAAATAGTCGTAAGACAAGAATGTTAAATGGGGTTCACCCAATTGTGCT